GCAATGTCGATCTTAAGTGTGGGGGGGATGTTTATCTTTTGACTGCATTAGCTCTGTTTGTGTGCTTGGAGCCTAGTCCACTGTCCAAATTTTTAAATTTGAGGGCTCCAAGTACGTGTTCCTTGCAATTGCCTGCTCAGTATGCTTTGAATTGACAGTCTCTGTAGTGATTTGCAACCTAGGGAGGTAGTGTAGCACTATGGAGGATGTTGATGCATTTAAGAAGTCTCATTTCTTCTTCATATTGTGTTGGTTGATTGAGCGAATTAGTGATCTTAGGACCCTTGAATTGTGTGGTATTGTGGACTCTCTGCTTGTCATGGACTCTTGTATCATGTTCTGAATGTAACAGGTGCTCGAAATGTGCTTTAAAATAACGTCTCCCGTGCGAATAGGGCGAAAGTGTGTAAGGGGAGACGGGAATCCGTTCCCAATTTCCACTTACTACCTCCAGCCCCCTTACATGTCTTTCCCCGCACGAGGCTCGAGATACCCGCTCCTGGCATGGCCGGTAAGAGCCGGGCTCCCGCAAAACCTTTGCTAGGTGGGAGCCCTCGTTTTCTGCAGAAACAGGTTGGAACCCGTGAAAAAAAGAGAAAAACAGAAAAACAAGCAAAAAGAAGAAAGAAAAGGGTTCCAACCATGTTCACAAAGAAAATCGAGCACCTTGAATTAATATGAGTCCATGATCTTTTGTTTGTGAGAGTCTCTTCATCCACGATTCATTTGTCCTCTGTTCACTATCTGCCATGATGCCGATTCGAGACTAGCGTTCTCGCCGAAGAGGCTATGAGATGACTTGTGCGTTGATTGACCTCGTAAGCTGCTAAATGATCTAGGAAGTCCGCTACCTACGATCGAGGTTGTTTGTTGCTATAGAGGTCTGGAGAGTTGCATTGGTTTGAGTTTGGTTTGCTTGGGGACAAGCAACGGTTAAGTGTGGGGGAGTTTGATAGATCGATAATTATACATGTTTTCACCCCTATTTTGAAGCCGTTTGTGATGAGGGATCTCGTGTTTTAAGCCGATTTCACGCTAGGTTGTGTGTTTATGTCATATTTCAGGTCCTGGCGTTGGAATCGAGGCGAAGGGACGAGTTCCGGGTCGAAAGGAGCGAAGATGGGATAAAGGATGCTACTGGACCAAAATACCCGGTCAAAGGAAGAAATACCCGGCCGGGTATATTCTGGCCTCGACCGGGTATTTTTCCCTTCGGGCACCCGTGAGAAACAGAAGGGGGCCCGGGCGATGGCCTAAAATCCCCGGTCATGTTGGACCGGGGATTTTCCCAAAAGTGGAACGGCGCGTTTTATGAAATACCCGGTCGAACCATGAAATACCCGACCGGGTATTTCGACCGGGTATCGCGAGGGCAGCTGATAAAAGAGGAAGAAGGCCAATTTTCAAGGGGTTCCGGGTTTTTGAGAGAGAAATCGATTCCTAGAGAGAGAAAGTGACGAACCAGAGTTCTCAAGCGCCATAGATCGATCTTCAACACCATTGGAGCCCGGTTTGAGCTTGGAGAAGTGCGATTAAACGTCCAGGAGCAGAAATCCAACTTCACAGTATGATTTCCGCGTCTGAATCTGCTTTTGCTTCTTTCTCTATGGAGTAGTTTCCCCATTCATCTGGGTATGGAGAACCCTAGATTTGTATGCTAGGTCTGATTGTATGAACCCAAGTACAGAGTTTGTGAATTGATTATATTCGATTGAGGTTTGAATGATTGAATGACTTGAATCCTGATCAAATTCCAGTTGTTTCTGCTTTAACCTAGAATGAGAATATCTGCCTAGGTTGATAGAGTACCCTTAATCGAAGGTGGCGAATTGGTGACTTTAGTCGAGGAGCCAATTCGCTATTCTGTACCGAAGTCAATTCGGTAGTGAAGATTTGGTTCATTAGGGCCTCAATCTGTTTACTCCGGTGGAGTTTAGTCGCCCGCTAGAGACTCAGATTGAGAGGGTCTGGAGACCTTTAGTCGAGACTTCAGGCTAATTGAGAACCTTCCGCAGTATAACTTTCATGAAAACTGAACTTGGTAAATTGCAATCCGACTTAACTGCAGTCTAGGGGGAACCATATCCGGGTGACCTCTCTTGACTTGACAACAAACCGTTTACTTGCTTTGTGTTTTGTTTGCTTGAGTTACACTAAAAGTTCACCGCTAAATAACAAGAATTCACCGAGTAGTCATCACATCTAGGACCCGGGTTGACAATAAAACCCCGCTATACTACACTTTAGGAAGTGGTTGCACTTGGCCATTTCTAGAGTGACAGTAGGAGTGAGTCAATACCCCTTGCCTTGTATTGTTTGTCTTGGTTTGTGATGCGACCCACTCACCCCACATGACGTTACTCGAGCTCATATGAGATCTTCACATGGACTATGGGCCAAGAGATGAATTAAGAGGTTCAAAGAAATCTTGGGAGCATGCAAGATGGGTGAAAATGGTTCTGTAAGCAAGGCCTACGATTTTGTTGATGTGAAATCGATTGGTAGAACATGTATTTCTCGCGGTCCAAAGATGAAGGCCCGAATACAACGATACAAGGATCAAATGGGATCATTCTTGATGGATATGGAATTTCATCGAGGAAAGCCCATCACATTGCTTCAATTCGTGGATCCAAATCACGAGAAGATGGGCTTGGAGAAAGGAGTGAAGATTCAGCCCAAAAGGAAGAAATTCCCCCATGGTGTGAACACAAGGTGAGAACAGATGATGTGAAAGGAATATAAGGTGTGAACACAATTCATGTGAGTGAGGATTCTAAGGCTAGAATTAAGGATTGTAAAAGTCAAATTTATTTCCTTTTCTTTGTAAGACTTTGTTTACTTGTTTGTTAAGGTTTCTATTTTCCTTTTTCAAGTAGGATTTGTTTACCATAATAGTTTTGGATGTAAATTCGTTGCCTATACAAGGAGGCCAAACTATTGTATTTTTCATTCAAGTTTTCAGCAATCAAATATAGTATTTTCAAGTTCGAGTGAACGGTTTTGCTTAATCTCTCCTTTGAGGATTTGGGAGAGTTGAGTGGTCTCTTATCAACTAGAGAACGCGTCTAGTTGTGGCGAGCATCGACTATATCGGTTGGCCTTATCCATGGGTTCAAGATTGTCTGATTGGTTTCATATAACAATTGGCACTTCTCACGAGTTCGGATCTGTTTGATCGATTCCCGCAAGTTATCCTTTATTTTTGTGTTATTGAAGAAAGAAGAAAACCCCAAAAGAGTTCGACGTTGTGCAATTCTGTTTTTTTTATCCAAGTTTGAGTGGATTCTCGAATTGGGATCATATCAATTTGCACCTTCATTGGAGCTATTTTACGCTAGGTTTGCTCGCGTTGTGTCATGTTTCAGACCTTAGCATGTAATCTTGGCACCGAGATCGAAAGTCGGACAAAAGAGGGCAAAAAAGGAGCAAAATGGATGAAAGTGGCCCGATCACGGTTTTGGTGCTATTATCATGGACAAAAACCGTGAAGTGGACAAGCAAACCATGAAGTCTGCACATTTCCAGAAGGATTCGCGCAGTTCGTAGGCATTACCAAGATTGTGGTCTTCAAACCGTCAAGTCAACAAGCAACCTAAGAAGTTCGTTAGTGCGTTCTGCGTCCAAATCACGGTTTCACTTCGACTTCATGGGCGTGATATGAGACCGTGATATGTGCACTCATGAACTATATAAAGGACAGTGAACTAAATTTGAAAGGGGGAGTTCTAGAGAGAGATTGAAGGTTTCTTCTTCAATGCTTAGAGAGAGTGAGAAAGCTACGATGCATGGAAATTGGGTGTTCTTGATCAAATCCCTCAATTTAGGGACCAATTGACCTAGAAGGAGGAGATCTTCTTATATCCTATTCTTGACAATTCATGTAACCTTCTCTAGGCTAGTTTGGATCATCCCTCAATTTAGGGACAAGTTCCATAACTTCCAAGAAGTTTTTATGCAAGCCTTAGTCAATTGATTAAGCGCGCTAGGAAGCACTTGAATACTTTTCCTAGCTAATTTTGTTTATCTCCTAATGGTATATGAACCTATCTACCACACTAGAGTTTCATCTTTGCGTATTAACACGGGACTAGAGGGAGCAATGTCTGAGTGATCCTTCTCATTTGAATTCACCAAATTTTAATTGCTTGCTTGTTTAGTTTCGTTAGCTTTAACCACAATTCGATTTCTAGATAACCTGTAAACGGAAGTAAGGATAGATAGTCTGCCTGGGTCGATATTGAAATACATATCCTATCCTACACCCGACTATAGGTTGCACTTGGCCTATAGTTGGGATAGTGTAGAAGCAGTAAAGAGTCAAGTTTTTCTAGCGCCATTGCCGGGGTACACGGTCTAGTATTCGAAAAAAGATGTTTACTGTTAATCTAGCATTTGATTTCTTGCATTTTTAGTTTGGATCTTGCTTGTCTTGGGTTTCGTTTGTGTTGTGTGAAGTGAGTGCAGGAGGCATATGACCCAGAGTAACCCGACACCTATAACACCGGTAGACAACAACATCAATCACACTCTCCGACTCCTATCTCGAGAGAGGGAGTTAAGAGAGGCAAGAGAAAGGCTCGCGGTTCGGGGACAACTTCACATTGAACTTGAAGTTGAAGTTGAGGAAGAAGGTGGAGTTGAGGAGGAAGTTGTGTTTAAAGAAGAGGAGAGTGCACTCCACATAAGCAAATCCTTCACTTGTGGCAAATATTGATGAGTTGATCAAGTTGATCTTGCATGATAGGAAGCAAGGCAAGAACTCGATTATTGATATGAGCTAGGTTCAAGGGATTCGAACTCGCTCAACAATGATAATACAAAAAGTAAAGATAACACAGAAATCGGTCAAACGATCTCGAACTTGTGGGAAAAGCCAATCGGTATAGTCGTTGCTCGCCATGACCAGATGTGATCATCTGGCTGATAAGAGCCTCGTACAATCCTACGGAATCCTCGACAGAGAGTTTGCACAGCCGTTCAATATTTGAACTCGAAAAGCTTTTGATTTATTTGATGAATAAAACTTGGTTGAATGTTTCCTACAATAGACCTCATCTTCTTATATTGGAGTAGCAAAATAACCCTAAAAACGAGTGCAAAAGCGACACTTAACAAGTCCAAAACGAAATAGAAAAACACAGCAACAACAACTCGGTGCCTGATCCCCGCTCAAGACCATGCTATTCCCCGATTGGGGATTTGAGTGTTCATATCCGGGGGTCCTTCTGGACGTGATCCCTGATAAGTTTCCTCAATCCCCGATTAGGGATTGTTGGCCGGGGAATTGGCGTCTTCATCCAACTTGGCCTACGACCCTGCCTCGACCCTCGAACAGCTCCAATTCCATCGTTGGTAATCTCTCGGCCAAATAGGCCTTTCACTTTACCTTTTCGATCCTCTAAAGCCTTCATCTTTGAACCTCGATCATTATATATTCTTCGAACTCGAGGGATGTCATGTGAGGTGATCTGGATTGTAAGGAGAAGCAAACTTTATTTTATTCAAGAAGAAATTGGATAGATATAAATTTTATAGTGAGCTTTTGAAATCAAATCTAACATAGTGTCTAATATAGATAAATTCGATAAGTTTTTACATATTCATTTTGAAATGAAATGTTTTTGTTTGAAATGCAAATGAATACATTTTCAATGGAAACTTTGAATAAGCTGAGTAATGGTAACATTGTTATTTTTTCAACTCCATCTAACGTGTTTTCAATGATTGATTTTGAATACACATCATGTTCTAGGTGATTTAGTTATTAAATTGAGGGTACATTTTGGTAGGCTTTCATTTATTTGAATTATAAATTTGTTCCAAACATGACTTGAGATTTCAATTCAATTCATGTGTACATATTTGAATATACCATTCCATCAGTGAGAAAATATATATTGAAAATTGATGAATATTGAAACTGCCATTTTTGTTGAAAACATAATGAAAAGTAAACATTTTTTCTTGTTCTCATTCCCATATTTATAAAATGGAAACATGAAACGGAAGTAAACAGGTTTTTTCAATTACGTTGCCAGATTTATGAAGGCTTAATTCACCTGTATAGCCAAAACTATTAACTTTATGACAAATATAGTCAGATTTTAAAAAATACACTAAAATAGCCAAAAATCAAAATTTTCTATAACTTAATCGTCAACTTTAGTTATTTCCGTTACTATCGTTAACATCATCACGCACGCCGTCATTGTCAGCTGAAGTGGCTTCACCTGTACTACATGTCATCGCCAACTAGACTCGGTTTGCCCATGTCAGCGCTAACTAGGATTCCATTAAGGAATTATTAAAAAAAGTAATAATGTTTCCCCTTTAATTAACCCTCATCCCTCATCAGCTCACTCCTATCCTTCTCCTTTTTTCGCGAAATAAAACCCCCCTCCCATCTGCAGCTAGGTTTCCGGCCGAAACCAACCGGCGTCGGCGCCTCTTCTCCAAATAGCCTGGTCCCCATCATCCTCCCCAATTCCCCCGGTAACCGACACCCTCCCCAATTTCCCCTACCACCGACGCCTCTCTTCCAGCATCAATCCCCAAATTCCCCGACTGTCGCCTCTTCTCCTAGCCGAACCATGTCGCAGGGGGCCTGGTCGGAGGAATGCGGCGAGTTACGGCTGATTTACGATGACCCCAGGATGTTTTTTTTGTATCTTTGGTAGTTGAGGATTGGATGTGTCGTAGGATTCGAAAGAAAATTGCATATTTTTTCGGTGGGTGGATGTTGGTGAGGATGTCGACGAAATCAGGTCGGTCGAAGTTGGAGATTTTGAGGGTGGCGGCGGAAATATTAGGGATTTGGGTTCATCGGCGCTGCCTGATACTGGGTGTGCAATTTTCAACGCAAATTTCAGCAGGAGAGGACGAAGAGGAAGATGAGCAAGCAGAACACGAAGAGATGCGAGAAGCCAATCCTTTGATCGAGATCCATCTTTGATTCCGTAGCTCTCGTCATCTTCCTGGCGGGATCGTCCTGGAAAGATAAGGAAAAAGGCGAAGGGATGAGGCTGAGAGGCGAGGAGGTGAGTGGTTTTTGCAATTGTGTCAAGGGCAGAACTCGAGCTGTGCCGGTGATGGTTGCGGATCTATGGAGTGTGGGATCCAGTAGTTCAGCATTGGTTGGCTCCTTCGAGTTCGTCGATGACGACGATGGAGAGGAAGAAACAACTAACGGATCGTTTGCTTCAAGGTTTTGTTGATGGACTTGCATTTATCATGGACTTTGACAAAAGTCTATTGTTTGCTTGATGGAATTGGAGGGAGTAAATCTATGGGGCCCACAGAGTTTCGAGGTGGGAATTAGGTGATGGATTTAAATCCATGATGGTATTTTACTAGTTTATCCCTACTTATTTTACCTAATGACTAATCTACCCTTCCTTCTTCCCCGGTGGTGGCCTCCAACTCTTTGTCCTCAGTTTTTCATATAAAGCAATGAATGATAAAGGGACTCTCATGTTTGTTTCTCCTTGTCTCTTTCTTTTTTTGGGCTTGTTTAACATTAATTTCTCGCATAAATTGTGAATTTCCTGATGAAATTTCGGATTAAGCATGGTGCTCGAGTTTGATAAAAAAATCGGGACATTTTCAATTGTGGTTGAATTTCACATCTTCGTCTACTGAGTCTTCTATTTACTCCTCCATTGATATTTCTAACACTTTATGCTCATTTTGTGCATTATTGCAAGATCGACAGTCGGATCCAAAAATTAGGGAGTTGTGTCATGTTCAAACTATTATGCATTTCTATATTTGTAATTGAACGAGTTCACAAAGTAGAAGTTCAGTTACTTTGAATGCATTAGATTTGTTTTTAAGGGAAATATAATTACATAAGGGTAACAAGGTAATTTGTATTTCATATCCACAAATCTAATCAAATAAAATCCATTATCAAATCCAACAAGCAAACAATAGACTTGTTCAAATCCATGATGCCACCAAATCCATCATATATCCATGGTTTTTCAAAACCCAGGTTTTATCAAAACCCTCATATTTAAAATCCACGAAGCAAACGACCTGTAAGAAAAAAAGGGAAGGAGAGAGTTTCGAAGGAAGACCGTAGTTTTTTATTTATTTATTTGTTTTTCATTTAATTACAATAAAAATAAGAAAATAGCCATATCCACATGGTATGATTTTTTACCAAAAAATGCCACGTCATTAAATGATGTTAGTCTAGTCAGCATTCTGTATATTTCCGTTAAAGTTATGGACGACATGGCTATTTTAGTATATCTTTCAAAATTTGGCTATTATTGTCATAAAGTATATAGTTATGGCTATGGAAGTGTATTTTGTCATTTATGAAATGGAAACAAAAATTGAAAATGAAAGTGAACATACTACCTTTAGTACTAGCCGCTTTTGTTTTGGCTTAAACTTGCCTGCTGTTCTTGGCTCCTCGTTGAGCTCAACCAACGTAAACTGCATCAAAGGAACAGATCGGATCAGTAACCATGTGATGAGTAATCATGCATAATCCAATCACCATCCACCACATCAGTGTTCATTCTCTCTCTTGGAAATTCTTTAATTTTCCCCTATTAATCTTTAATGGACGATTTCTCACTCGTTTTAAGTCGAAATTTAATTTTTTTTGCACAGTTAGATCAGATTAATTGTGTTCTTCAAAATGATATACATTTTGATATATTTTTGAAACAAAAAAAAATTGAGTCATTTTTTATCAGTCTATACCATATGATATTGACTAGTATTGAAATAAGAGCATCATATGATATGAAAAGACTATCATGGTGATATGAACATACAAGGACTGTAAAATGGTTGAATACATGATACTAAGGGTATACTAACTATTATTTACGCCATACAACAAAAATAAGTAGCAATGGGAACACACAGATACTTGCATAAGATACCAGAATTATGTACAAAGGGCACTAGGCACTAGCGCATCCAGCATAGCATGTTACGAGTTGCGACACTAAACAGCCATAAACACAACTCACGTCAGCTTGCCGCTGATCGTCGACAGCCATGGAGATTTCAGATTAGCAGGCAAGAGCAAGCAAACCCCCTTCACATTATCAAAGACGGAAAAGGCCAAAGACTAAGATCTCGGGAGTCCATTAAGATTTTAAAGTCCATACGAGTTTGGGATAAGAATGACATTCAAACTTCATAACCAGGATTTACTCTCTGCTGAACATCTCCATAACTCTCCAGCTCGTCTATGTCCTCTGGACTTCCAAGAAACAGAGGAAGTCTTTGATGCAGCTTCACCGGTTGGAGGGAAAGAATCCTACCCTTACCATCGGAACCTTTCCCACCGGCTTGCTCCACCAGAAAACTCAGTGGATTAGCCTCGTAAACAAGCCGAAGATGATCCCTTGGGTTCATTGCAATACCACCATACAGCAATGTGCGATGCAAATCAGCAACAAGGGAGCATATGTAACGAGCCGAATATTTCTTAGGATGTCTTCCTTTCCCTTGCCTCACAGTATCGATATAATGCCTTAATCCTTCAGGCCAGTCAAAATACCGTGCATCGTTCACAGAGTAAATTTGGCCTGAGTGTAAAAGAGAACACGACCAATCAGCAAATCAAACTTGAGATGGCAACAAAAAAACCCCTGCTTAAAAATACATTGGGAAATGAACTGATTTGGCACTGATATATGGGCATTGTAGCATTTCCTAGAGCTAACTACCGCCCAAGTCAGAGAACACAACATGTTTAAATGGTCAACAAAAAGTGTACAAGACTGCAAGGAAATCAAAGTAAGTAAATGCTCATTTTTCAGAACCATGGGATCAGAATGAGTATAGCACACAACAAACAAGAACATTCCAGTTGAGAACTATGGCCAAGGCAAGTGCATAGATCAGACAGTTCTAGTTCCTCTTAATTTACACTTGATGCAACTATAGAAGCGCCCAATAGAGACCATTTCAAGGATGGATTTTTATTTATGGAAAGAAACCTACAAACAAGTTACCTCGAGGAGGAATTTGAATCCCCGGATGCGTGAGAACAAAATCCCCTGTAGAGCGATCCAAGGTAAATGCATGCGTTCCAGAACCAAAGCTGGTGCAAAGTATGGTAGCAGATGAATAGAGGATGTAAGCAGCAGCTACAAGTCTAGTTCCACTCTGTAAAGAATTGAGCATAGCCTTCTCCTCTTGAGGTAGATGATCAAGTTCCACCAGGCGCTTGTATACCCCGTATATAGTTCCTGTTGGAATGGAGGCGTCTATGTTCCTGGAACCATCAAGGGGATCTGTTACCACCACAAATGCTCCATCATCCTGTATCCAAACCGGCTTGTCATCTTCTTCAGAGGCCATGACGGCGACCTTTCCCGAATTTCGAAGGCATGACAATATGATCTCGTTCTACACAGAAAGAAACCAACTGAGCTATGAGGGAGGCAATCACGATTAGTGTTGGAGACAGATTACTGGGGAGCATAACCTGGGCACAAAATGAAAGTAACCACTAAAAAGACCGGGCCTTTCTGCTACCACAAATTAGTTGAAGTCCGCTACTGCAAAGGCATACCATATCTAGGGCAAGGATCGACTTCCAAAGCAGCATAACGCAAACCAACAAACTCTACAGCCAATTCCCGCGGTCTATTCAACCTCTGGAATGAACTACTAGGGTCATATAAACAAATAAATTACTAGTAGCAAGTTCAGTTTTGGACTGAAATTAGCTATAGATAGTCCTCAGCCAACGAAAATGAGACGCATGAAATGAATTGAGAACAACCATCCCTCTCCTATCGACTGTGAGCAACCTGGGAAAAGAGGGAAGAGACGTACGGACACTGTGTCGAGCGGTTTCGGTGCATCCCTCTCCGAACCAACGCTGCCAGCTGCCTTGTTATGCTTTCCGAGGTTGGAGTTGAAAGGGGAAGCTACGACCGCACTAATTTTCTTGCAAGCGTACTGTAAATGATCAAACAGAACAACTAAATCATCTCCCAAACCGATTCCTCCCTTTCCCATGTATTCCATCAAAGTGTAAGCTCCATCGACACTCTCCGAAGCTGCACTAAGTTGCGACTTTATACTAAACCCAGAAGCAGAGGAAGCCATTTTCCGACGGCTACGCCGGCAAAGAAGTGGGTTCCGGCGGAGGAGGAAGTTGAATTTAGGCGGGAAAGGGTGAGATTTCTGCAGGAACAGCGACGACGGAGTTGGGGATACGGCGGATGAATGCATGTTATGGTTTCACAACAAGGAAGCGATTAGATTGGGGGAGTGGGCTGAGGAACATTTGAGGAAATTTTTGGGGAGGGGTTGAGACTTGAGATAGAGAACGGAGTAGGATGGCGATTTCCTGGTTTAGAATGTTTCGAGAAAGAATCGGAAGTGTTTGTAACACCCAACTCGAGTTTAGGTTGGACCTATACTCCTACAGTAAAGGTTTAGTTTGGTTTAGTTTGGGTTTGTCCGCTTAGTGCAAAAATTACAAAATAAGAAAGCATTCTTGATTTTACAGAAACTAATACTTGATTTCTTTTTTCGCGTTCTTGATTTTACAAGAAACAACACTCATCTCCGATGTGAATTTTCATTTCAAAGTATTAGCACCCGATTAACACTAATTATGGAGTTTTTTTTTTTAATATTTTTAGCCTATATCAGTAGTTATCGTCTTGTTAGCCAATCAAAACAGACTATCAAGTATCAACCATACTCTACCCCATTTCCCTTAAAAAGGTTTCCTCTCCTCCTCGATTAACGATTCCTCTACTTCGTTGCGAAGACCAATCTCCCGCGCCTTCGTACCTGACTCGAACCTAACTACATAATTATTAATCGAAGGCCAACTATAACCAACGGCCGGGTGCAGAATAAAGTATTTTAATATCAACCCGAGGCAGACTATATATGTATCCCTACATCAATCGTTTATATATTATCTAACAAACGGTTTGTGGTGAAAAGATAAGGAACTACAGTCGAAAACAATCAAACAAAGTAAATTGTGGTGAATTCGATTTGAGAAAACTTCACCTAGATATTGTTCCCCCCTTGTCTCGTATTTCTTTCTGTATTCCGCCGTTTTGGAAGGTGGATAACACCGGTTCATGAACTTTGATTCGGGCTCATTTGTACACTTTTTACCCTCGGTATGCTTAGTTGTTTGAAGCATTTTTTACTCTGGGAGGTTTGGTTTTACGTCGGGTTGTGCCTTGTTTTGATATGTTTCAGGCTTTGGCAGGTCGAACCAACCCCGGAGTCTAAAGTTGGACGAAAGGCGAAAGATCAAGTCAAATGGTGGAAACAACAGCATTTCACGGTTTGAGTTGTGAGTTCACGGTCACTAAGACCGTGAACTGGAGGCACTCCCCCCGAACTGCCAGACATCCAGCGCACATAAGGGTTTCAGTGGACACAAGCCAGTTCATGGTCGTAAGACCGTGAACTCAGACCCCCGTCCGTGAACATAGTTTAGTGATGCGGCGGGTTTCATCGTTGGTTCACGGTCTGTGCTTTCAGTTCACGGCCGTGAACTAAGACTGTGAACTGAGCCCGATCTGGGTATAAAAAGGAGGTTGAGCCAAAGGAGAAAGAGGGAGATCTAGTGTGAAAAACTTCTTCTTCTTCTTCTTCTTCTTCTTCTTCTTCTTCTTTGAATTTTTAGAGTGAGAAAGTGACGAACTAAAGAAGAGGAGAAGCTAGGGTTTCATCTTCAAGCAAGGAATTGGGAATTCTCCCTCCAAAGGAGGATCTCTTCAACACAAGGAGCAAGGCTAGCATCTCTTTGATGGTTTTCCTTCTTCTCTCTTGTGCTTTCCCTTCTCCTAGCATGGAGTAGTCCCTTCTTTCACTTGGGTGTTTGTAAACCCTAGCTACAATTATGTGAATGCTTGTATGAATTGAATGATTTGTGTGTGGTTGTGTTTAATGTGAATGTGGAGGTACTATTAATGAATGATTGTGTTGTGTGAAAGCCTATCAATCTAATCATTCTAACCTAGGTAGAGAGAAAACCCCCCTTCCTTTCTTTGAAAGAGGCTTGAATGCTGGGTTTTCTTAGGCAATTCATTGTCTCCTAGTTAAATTAATGCAGGGCAAACCTCCTATTTTGTATTAGCACCTAGGGTTTGATTGTGGGTGGTTGTCCGAACTCCCATTCGAGGGTGAATTCTAACCAATCCTTAGTCAATAGGTTGAGAGAGTCGCATTAATGGCTTGGATCGTATCCCCTTTCCTCGACCTAGCCACTAAGAGGATAGCTTGGGATACTTATTAGACTTCCCTACGGTTTACAACCCCCTCACCACAAACAGCCATTCGAACCATCAAGTCGTAATTGCTAGGGGGAGCAACACCCGGGTGAAGCCTTCTCAATTAGTAGTCAAAACCATTTCTCATTGCAAGAACTTTAGCTTTAGATATTTGTTTTCACCAAAACCAACCGGTAGATAATGTTCCAGACAATCGAAGTAGGAGTACATGAATCGTCCCGGGTCGATATTTAAACATACTTGCCTTGTACTGCACCCGATTAAGGTTTATACTTGGGCCTTAATAGGCCAGCTCTCTCGATCACTTCGTGGGATGATATGCTCAACAAGGTTATGAATCGGTATTGCGCACCTTCAAAGACGGCGGAGTGGCGCAAGAAGATCACCCATTTTGAACAAGAGAAAGATGAGACACTAAGGGATGCTTGGGAAAGGTACTCCGATTACTTCCTCCAATGCCCACATCATGGATTCGAGGAGCAATTCCGGATTGAGACCTTCTATGGCGGTCTCCACCAAGAAGACAAGATCCTCATTGACTCTTTATGTCAAGGAAAATTGATGAACATGACTCCACCCCAAGTGACAAAGTTGCTTGAAGTCATGGGAAGTAAAGGGTATGATTGGTGCTTGACAAGAAGTGGAAAGAGAAGTACCTCATGGAGAGTGCAAAGTGTAGGAGTGAGTCCCCCGCTTGAAGCAAATATTGATCAGTTGACTGAGGCACTCATAGAGGACAAGAAGCATGGGAAGAGGCCGGTGATGGCGTGTGATTGGTGCTCAAGTACCAACCACGAGATTTCAGATTGTCAAATGATGAAGGAATCGAGCACAGCCGAGGAGCAAGTGAGTTTCATTTCCAATGCTAGAGGGGAACAACCCCTATAGCAATACTTACAACCCGGGGTGGCAAAATCATCCGAATTTCTCTTGGTCGTCTCCAACCAGTCCAAGACCCCCCGGTTTCCAAGGACCAACAACAAATTACCAACCAAGGCCTACTTTCATTCAACAAAGGCCGCAATTCCAAGGCTCGAACTTCCAACAACCATTTCAAGTTCAAAGAGGTCAAGGGTTCCAACAACCTGATAAGTTTGCAAAACTTGAAGACCTTGTGACCACCTTTGTGAGCACGAGCACTAAAAAGCTCGAGAAGATTGAGCAATTTATAGATGTGGCAAAAACTAAGTTTACCTCGGTTGAGGCGGGATTAAGGAGCCATCAAGCAAGCCTTCAAAACTTGGAGGTGCAAATTAGCAATCTTACCAGGATCCTCACCGAGAGGCCAAGGGGAGCCCTACCCTCTCAAACTATTGTTAACCCCAAAGACCAAAATGTCGGGTGCAATACAATTATCTTGAGGAGTGTGAAGGTTAACCCCAGAGGTTGTTCCTAAGGAAGTGAACGAAGAAGAGAAGACCCCTCCATCGGCCAATTATCCCGAAGAATTGGGAGAAAAGAAAGAAGAGCCTAAGAAGGCATTGTTGACGCCACCACAAGTGGCTGAGTACAAGCCTCCTCTTCCTTTTCCCTCAAGGATGCAAAAGGACATAATAGAGGAGGAGTGTGGAGGATTCATGGAGATGCTCAGGAAACTACACATCACCATTCCATTCTTGGAGGCCATGGTGCACATGCCAAGGTATGCCAAATATCTCAAGGGGCTTCTCGCCAAGAAGCCTAAATATGAAGACCTCGCCAATGTCACCTTGGGCGAGGAGTGCTCCGTCTTTATCCTCAACAAGTTGCCTAAAAAGCAACCGGATCCAGGTAGTTTCACTCTCCCCTTTTGCATCAGAAATCATCATATAGAAAACTCCTTGGTGGACTTAGGAGCAAGCATTAAGGTGATGCCTCACAAGCTTTTTAAGAAGTTGCATTTGGGTGAATTAAAGCTGACACGCTAAAACTGTCACACTAGAAAATGGCCAAGTGTACCCACCGTCTAATGAGTAGTATAGCGGGTTTAGCTTTACTTATCAACCCGGGTCCTAGATGTCATGACTACTCCATGAATTTCTTTGTTATCTAGAAGTATGAATGTAGTGCAGTTTGAACTAGTCTAAGCAAACGCAAAAAACTGTAAAAACTGTGATTCCAGTTCAGGAAAGGTCACCCAGATATGGTTCCCCCTAGAGCGGAGTTAAGTTCAATTGTAATCCACCAAGTCCAAGTGTAATGATAGTATACTGCATAAGGTTCTTAGTCAGTCTGAAGTCTCGACTAAAGCTCTTCAGACCCTCCCAATCTGAATACCCGGCGGGCGACAAACCTCCACCTGAACAAACAAACTGAGGCCCTAACATGCAAAACCTCCTCTACTAGAACAAATCCAGTACAGAACATTGAATTGACTTCTCTACCAAAGAAATCAATTCACTACCTTCAATCAAGGGTGCTCTATCAACCTATGTAGATATTCTCTTTCTAGGTTAAAGCAGAAATCACAGGAATTTGATCAAGATTCAATCAGTTCAGAAATCATGCCTCAATTGAATATAATCAATATCAAAACTTCATGTACTTCGGTTCATACAATCAATCCTAACAAACAACTCTAGGGTTCTTCATACCCAGGTGAGAGAGAGAGAGAGAATTACTCCATAGAGAGAGAAGAGAAATCTGCTTCAGATGCAGAAGTCATCGTGTGAAGGATGAGTCAAAGCTCGATCTAGGGCACATTGGAGGTTGGGTTCGTCACTTTCTCTCTCTCTAAAACTCTGTTTTTTCTCAAAAGCTCAATCCCCATCTCCAAAACCCGAAATTGGGTTAAGATGCAGCTGTCCACGATTGCACGGTCAGGCCGCACGGCCGTGCAACATCCTTGGTTGCCCGTGCAACCAAAACACAGCGTTAGAATTAGTTCCACGAGGGGAGGGCACAACCATTCAATGTCCCGTGCTATCCGAGAGCCTGGTCGCGCAGCTTCTCGGAGAATTCATCACGCCCAGAAAATAAGTCGTGCACGATCATGCAAATCCTAGCCGCGCATCTTCGCTTTCACGGCCACCATGCGCGGCCGTGCGTATTCTCGGACTGGCTGTGTAACTCGTCTGCTCTCCATCGATCGTCCCGTCTTTTCCCAATCGACCCCGAACTCGTGCTCAAACCTTCATTCATGCATTAGGACCTGAAATGTCATAAACAAGAACAACCTAGCGTAAAATT